CTGTCTCAAAATAAGCACGCTCACATTCTACTGATTTCCCTGTAAAATAAATGTCAATTGGGAAATATATTGAATATAAGTAAAATAAATGCATTTGCATGTTATTATTTGTATCAAGCGCCCCCGTCTTTGTTCTTTAACTTCATTTTCATATTTATCTTGGAGTGAGTTTCGGGTTGCTTTCGGTGGTTGATTGTTCGAGGAAAAAAAAAAAAGAATTACCATTCTTATCAAAAACCTTTTCATATAAAATGTATTTTAGTATATACAGAAATAAATTGTGACCGTTTCTCGGAATGATACTCACAGATATAACCGCATATAGTGTATCTAATTACAAATTGAAATAAATAGTCCTTTGGATATAACGATCAAAGAGCAACAAATGGAATTTAAATTATAATACTGACCAACATGTCCGATAAAGTTGAAAATGCTCTTTCCATATAACTCCTGAATAACACCGGCTCCGCCTTATTCGAATTCTCTTTAGAAGGTTCGCTTATATTCTCTTCTAGCATAAATAGTGATCAAGAGTATTTGTAAAGATAAAGAGCACGATGAAATGTCGATTAGTACATGACACAGCATGTTGATCCGTACTCATCTTAGAAAATTTTCATCAAGCTTTGAATTACATTTATACTTACGTCTCTCAACGATGTCAATTTTTTTGAAGAATCCGCGGAAAGTTAGAACTTTTGACGCCATTACAGCACAATACTGCTCGACAACAACGTTGGTCGCATTCTCGACTATATTGAAAGAATTCTCAGCGACATAGATTTTGATGCTCAATTAGTAGAACAGCCTCTGAATTCCAGCAAAATATTTCTGGAGTATTAAAAAAGATCATATTCTGATTTTGGTAATTGAGTTTTACCCCACCTTTTCTATTTCTATTTACAGTTAGTTTAGTTAGTTCACTTTCTCGATTCAAAATAATTTTTTTTTTTTTAATAAATTTAAAATGTTTACCATGCAAACTTACATTGCAAAACTTTCCGATAGGTTTCATCTCTGTAATTGACTGAACAAAATCCGCTAAATCTTTGTTGGAATTTTTTCTTTATTCAAAAGAAATTAAATAAGCAATTTTATCTCAGCACGAGATAGATAAAAATAGGTATTTTTCGCTGTATATTAATAAAATTGTGACCCTGAATAAAAACAATTTATGATGTAGGGTGAAACCGTTATTAAACTTGGAACTGAACATCTTAGATATATTATTCCTTGCGTGGACAATTTTCACATTATTGGATGCTTCGCTTTAACTGAGCAATGGAAGCTACTGCTACATATAATGATGAGGACAGAGTTTATCATTAATACACCGACATTGTTAGTTCCAAATATTGGATCACAAACGTAAGTTTTTCAAAATGTTCAATTTTTCAATTTTTAAGAATGAATAGGTTATTTTACCCGAAATCGTTAAGATGGATGAAACCGATCCGACTAAAGTAACTTACAAGTCAAGGCTTTTATCTCCCTCGAAGAATTTAACCGACGTCAAAATTCAACCTTTCGAAATAGGGGTGTACACAGTACAGTGACTTTCTTTCGATTCATTTATTTTGTTTCTTTTTAAGATTAAAAAAATTAATTCAACCTTTATAAAGACATTGGAATTTGGATTGATGACATCCCTCTCACTGGAATAATTATGATAGCTTCGGGTGTACGTAAACGGGTTATCTATTCTCGGAATGAAACTTTACTTTTAGAAACAGATTAGTTTAGAAATGCTCATATTAGACTTGACTTTAGAATTAATCACTGCTTCCATTACCTCTGGTGCTAATGAAACTATTATAAGCCTTTCTACATTTAGGATGGGAAAGTTTTGGATCATCTGTCATCCCTACTAATGCTATTAATAACCAAGTATTTGGTCGACTACTTCAATCCTAATAGGCATAAACGGGCGACCATATAATCTTCTACCAGACGCGAAACCATCATATATTAGATTTGGAAGATATTTTCCTTCGATCAACTAAAGACAACAGAATCATCGCCTAATGAATCTTCTATTTGATGAAGATTAGAAGAGATCAACAATTGTTATCATAAGTGACCCCAACGACCACCACCGACATGAACTCAACTCTCGAAGCCTCTTTAAACGCAAATCCCAACAGAATGATCAACCTTATCTTACCAGACTTAGCCGCTTCATCTTTTCCTCTCATAAAAATTTTCGTTATATTCAAATATCAATCCTTAATAATTTTCCTATTAAGTTTACTTTAAAAAGTTGATTGTTCCATTAAATTATTCAAATTGCTCTAACGATGGGAGGAATGGTATTTATTTATCATGGGTGCTTAATACAAATAAGGAAGAACATTCAAAAGTATTTATTTTACTTATATTGAATCTTTTTCGTATCATTTATTATAATTTCCAATTGACTTTTATCTTTACAGGAAAACGGTAGAAAGTGGACGTGCTAATTTTGAAACAAAATATACGGAGCAAAAAGAACTAGAAATGAAAAAGCAGGCGGATGCATCAGGTCATAAAATTATGTATCTAGTATTATTGGTGCGCCTCTTAAGCAGATGTTAGAATTTTGGTATGACATTTATTTTTTTATACCGATCGTATACAAAATACAATATTTTAATTACATTTTATTGAAATTGTCATTATTATCTGCCAGTACAGTTGAATTTTATACAGGGTTTGAGAGAGGCATTCAAACATTTGAATGTGCCGTTCTTTGATGGTTAACTTCCAAATTATGAAGACGAGCATAGATTTTAGTACTTCAAGAAACTAATGAATCCACAATTCCTTACTGTTGAATGCTTTTTTAATTATGACTCTTGGAAGAGTTTGACATTTAAATCTGGTTCGGTAGTTATTAATCTGCCAGAGAGAACATCAAGCGTAAAGGATCATCCTCTGAGATTAGAGGTTTGAAGAATCATCCGTTGTGGGTTCAAGGTAGCCAAGCCGAAATGATTTTTACCAAACGCTCTACTATTAAGCTCCCCCAAAAATATATTATCGAACTTTGGAAATTAAAGTCATGAGAACCTTTGGGATTCAACAGAGACAAATGAAATACAGATACTCACCTCCTGAAGACTCGCTCCAAGATAAATAAAGAATGCGTTCTTACACATTTAATTATCGTTCCGATTTTCACGGGGATATTTCGACACCAAAGATGAATAACCATTCTTCTCCCTATACATTCTTTGCTCAAAATTATCTAAAACATATTTTGCACAAAGATCCCCTCTAACATGTACTTTGCACAAAATTATTAAATTCAAAAAAAAAAATATGCCTTTTCGATCCATACTAGGATTTTGGCTGGAATTTTCTGGCGCCTCGACTAAGCGGTAACGTTCATGTTTACTTTATCAGAATCAATTGATTATTTGATTTGAAGTTAAATAAAAATAAAAAAAAATTAGTTTAACATGTCTTTTAAAGGATTTTTTTTTTTTTTCAGTGTGTAAAAAAAAAATTGAGAGAAGCAATCCTTAAATATTTACAACCAAATGAATTAAGATTTTTGTATTGTTTAGATCATCAATAATGCATTACCAGGCAAATTTCATCCGGACTAATGTGACGTTTTTAAAAAGCAGAGTAATAGGGACTCTTGGTAGTGTTAAACTTTTAAGCACGAAAGAATTCTGTAGTGGGATGAGTGACCTGACAATTAGACCCATTTAACTCGATGTAATGGAAACATCATTGACATTGGGTGATTGAATTCAAAGCAGCGCGAGGACAAGTTGGATTTTTTTTTTTTTAAATTAATTTTTAGTTTTATTCTCTCTTTGGGTCCTAAGGTAGGTCAGTTTTGTGAAATGGGAGGGTACTTTATCAATAATTTTCGATATTCGAATATCAAAAACTTAGATTTGAATATTCAACCTTTGCAGAATATCCTATTTTTTTTTTAAAAACCAACGTCATATATTTCAAAATGTTTAAAAAAAAAAATAGAAAATGTGAATTGTAACGAAAAAAATTGTATCCTGTTACTCCAGAAAAACTACGTATGACTTGAAAAATGAACAAATATTAGGAAGATGAAACTTGAGTATCTTCAAAAAGGCAAAGGATTAAAAATTCTTTATTCTTGGCTGATACTTTCTTTGAATTCAAATTATGATTAAGGTGATGAAATCATTGAATTTATCATTCGTTATTGTATCTTCATAAATTAATTTGAAACAAGAATATGCAATAAAAATTATAAAATTCTACAATTAACTCTAATAACTATATCTTTATACATACTAAAAAAAGTAACTGATAATATAATTGATAAAATTAAAAATTATCTTTAATCACTTAGTAAAAAAAAGTTAAAGCATTACATATGAAATTTTGGTTGAAGGTTTCTCTTGATCTTTATTAACGCATTAGAATCTAACATTGTTTTCGAATCCTGGAAAATTTAATAAGCTTCACCAAGAAAACGCCTCATATTGTATAAAGGGATCGATTTTCATATGTGAAAAAATATTATTACTTTGAGATTAACGATAATAATAAAAACCAATTTACAAGATTTTTGCGTTGAGAAGCGCATTTTGGCACATGTGAAATCAACACTTTGTTGTTAGCCTTGCAAAAAAAAAAAAAAAATTTCAATAAAGATTAATCGGTAAAATAAGAGAATCTGTAATAAGACATACATTCCGCGGGGTCCCTTTATTTTGAACTCTTGATGCAATTCATTAATTGTAGTTCGATTGTCCAAGAAAGTTCGTTGTTTTTCAGCACGAACAATATAATTTCGAACATGCTGTAATTATATAAAAAAAAATTAAAATGATATTAAATTTAAATTACAGTTAACGCTCCGACGGTTCCGTTAGAAAAAAAAGTTCGCTATATGTTTTCTATATGAACCTTTACACTTTTTATAACGAACTATTATTAAAATTTAAAAATTTTTGAGTACTCACCCTTGGAAGGCAAGAGTTGAAAAAAGATTTTATCGGACGAGTAATAGTAAAGGAGCTATTCTTCCTGTATTTGACGCATCTGAAAACTGTGACAACAAATATTTTATCATGATCACGTGACTGAGACTTTTTGGGTAAGAATTGGGGATGTTAACGTTCGACCAGAGATTTCAATTTAATTTGTTTTTAACAAAAAAAAAATATATTAATTAATATAGTATTTTTTATATAAGTACCTTAGACCAAGTTTTTATTATCAAAATAAACAACCAACTTTATTGTGCAAAGATTGCAGAAAGACTATATTTCTTTCAATCTTCAAGAGAGAGTGAAACGTTACGAATACCGATTTCAAATGTATAACCTGAACTTAGAACCCTTACTTTTCTCTGATATATTCACTGACGGAAAAGGTCACTTCCATGACGTGATAGACGAACCTTATTATACTACCCCAAATCTCTTTTTTTTTCAATCTTGGAACCTTTGTGGAAAAGTATTTGCTCAACAGCTTACTTTAAAAGAACATACCAGAATTCATACTGGACCTAACTCCTTAACTTATCTTGACTGTTCTGAAACTCAAATAACAAGCTTGAGAAAAACCATTGGTTGAATTGTGGAAAGATGTTTACGCGTAAATCTGAATGATTTACGCGTAAATCTGAATGATAACAACATCGCGGTATAATATTCATGTAGAAGTTGAACTAAACTTATCTTAACTGTTCTGAAACTCAAATAACAAGCTTGAGAAAAACCATTGGTTGAATTGTGGATGTTTACGCGTAAATCTGAATGATAACATCGTGGTGTAATATTCATGTAAAAGTTGAACTAAAAAAATTGAAAGGTTTATTTCGTGTAAATGAGCTGAAGCGAGTTTTAATGTCCAAATAGTTCCAAAAACCCTAGGATTTAGAAAAAGATAAACTCAACAAGTGTAATGAAAGGGCGGGCGGACAGCGATACATTTTCATCATAGCGCAATTGCAAAAGCCAATCAGCATCGACTCGTTCCGGACTAATAAGATCTCAGCAAGTCACCAGAAAGCAAAGACAATTCCAAGAGATATGTTAACTCACAAGTCATCCTTAGTTCAAAAATTAATCTTGTCATTTAAATTGAATATTCACCAATATCAGAAACTTTCTCACAGAATAAGTTTGGAAAAAAGTTGACGTTCGAATCGAAGAGTTATCTATTTTCAAGAGCATTTTTAAAGGAACGAATACGAAAGCAAATTTACCAATTATTAATATAATCGATTTGCTACTTACCAATTGGTAACGCTATATTTGGTAATTTCATTAAATATTTCCTTATTTGTTTAATAAATCTATGATTTTGCAAACTGTAATTTTATCTTCTCCAAATATAACTGTACATTTCCTTCCATATATACAGATAGCCGACAAAGAATATTTATCTCTATGGACTAGGTTATTGTTTTTAAAAAAAAAAATAAAAATAAAAAAGGAATTAAAATTTTTAAGATTATAACCACGTCATTAAAAATTTTATTATACCATTTCCATCTGATCTAAATTACCAGTATTGTATAAGTTTTGAATCAGATTAAGAATCAATAGTAAACATATTGATATCTTCAGAAATAATTACATGATGAACGCCCAGAATTTCCAGTATCATAAGCTTATAATCTGAACACAATTATCAATTTAACAAATATTTGTCAGAGTCGAAATGGTTCGGCAAGAGAAAAAACTGTTTTGGGTTCTGACACAAATACTTCTTTGTAAGTTCTGCATCATCCTTTTCAAAAAGCCATTTTGAAAATAATTCGTGAATAAGTTCAGGAAT